GCCGGGTTTGCCCGAGGACAATGCCGACCACCTGAACATACGACAACTTCGCGAAATGCCGGAAAGTTCAAGTAAGTGTATGTCCGAGTTCCTCGAACGTACCTAGCTCGGATAATTGTCGAAGGATCTACGGATTCTCCCGAACGATGATCCCATTTTTCAGCGTCAAAACGGCCGCCACTTTTCTCACGACTAAATTTTTAGATCCACTTCCACGAAAACAGGCCAACTTCTCCAAAAAATTAAGTCATCTGTTAATGTCAACGTCGACGGAAACGTAAACCTGCCGATTTGTCGAAACTTCCGTTAATAATTGCGACTGTGTCTCGCTGGATTCAAAAATTCCAAAATTCGAGACATACTAGAAATTTGAGGAAGTTTCACAAGTGATCGCTGAATTTTGTGGCCTAGTTTTATAAGGGTCAACTTTTGGGAAAGTAAAGAGATTTCGTAACGTCGAGCGGCATCCTCAACATTGGAAACGTAATTTCCTGGTTTTCTGTCATAAACTGCTTGGTTTAGGTAAAATAGGTGATAAGCCTCATAAAAACGCGAAATTACCCAATTCTGATGTACATACATCTACGGTATCCTCTACTTTAGAAACGTAATTTACTGGTTTTCTTCGGAAAACTGCATGGTTTACGTAAAACAGGTAAACAACCTCATAAAAACGCGAAATTACCTAACCCTGATGTATATACATCTACAGCATCTTCTCTAGTGGAAACGTAATTTCCTGGTTTTCTCTGATAAACTGCTTGGTTTAGGTAAAATAGGTGATAAGCCTCATAAAAACGCGAAATTACCCAATTTTGATATACGTACATCTGCGGTATCCTCTATTTTAGAAACGTAATTTACTATTTTTCTCCGGAAAACTGCTTGGTTTAGATAAAATAGGTGAAAAGCGTCATAAAAACGCGAAATTACCCAATTTTGATGTTCATACATCTGCGATATCCTCTATTTTAGAAACGTAATTTACTGGTTTTCTCCGGAAAACTGCTTGGTTTAGGTAAAATAGGTAAACAACCTCATAAAAACGCGAAATTACCTAACCCTGATGTATATACATCTACAGCATCTTCTCTAGTTGAAACATAATTTCCTGGTTTTCTGTGATAAACTGCTTGGTTTAGGTAAAATAGGTGAAAAGCGTCATAAAAACGCGAAATTACCCAATTCTGATGTACGTACATCTGCGGTATCCTCTACTTTAGAAACCTAATTTATTGGCTTTTAATGGTAAACTGCTTGGTTTACATAATATACGTCAAAAATTTCGAAAAACGCGAAATTACCCAACCCTGATGTACATACATCTGCGGTAATTTACTGATTTTCTCCGGAAAACTGCATGGTTTGCGTAGAATAAGTAAACAACCTCATAAAAACGCAAAATTACCCAACCCTGATGTATACACATCTACAGCACCTTCTCTAGTGGAAACCAAATTTACTACTTTTCTAAGATGAACTGCTTGGTTTACGTAATGTACATAAAAAAGTCTCATAAAAAGCGCAAAATTACATAATTCAGATGCACATATATCTGCGATATCCTCTACATTGAAAACGTAATTTCCTGGTTTTCCATGATAAACTACTTGGTTTACGTAACATACATCAAAACCCAAATAATAAAACGCGAAATGACCCAATTCCGATGTACATACATCTGCGGTATCCTCTACTTTAGAAACGTCATTGACTGGTTTCCTCCGGTAAACTGCTTGGTTTACATAAAATAGGAGAAAAGCCTCATAAGAATGCGAAATTAGCCCAATTCTGATGTACGTACATTTGCAGTATCCTCTACTTTAGAAACGTAATTTACTGCTTTTGTAAGATAAACTACTTGGTTTACGTAACATACATCAAAACCCTCAGAAAAAAAACGCGAAATTACCCAATCCCGATGTACATACATCTGCGATATTATCTACAATAGAAACGTAGTTTACAGGTTTTCCACGACAAACTACTTGGTTTACGTAACACACGTCGAAAGCCTCATAAAAACGCGACATTACCCAATTCCGATGTACATACATCTGCGGTATCCTCTACATTGAAAACATAATTTACTGGTGTTCTCCGGTAAACTGCTTGGTTTACGTAAAATAAGCGAAAAGCCTCATAAAAACGCGAAATTATCCAATTCTGATGTACGTACATCTTCGGTATCCTCTACTTTAGAAACGTAATTTCCTGTTTTTCTCTGATAAACTGCTTGGTTTAGGTAAAATAGGTGATAAGCCTCATAAAAACGCGAAATTACCCAATTTTGATATATGTACATCTGCGGTATCCTCTATTTTAGAAACGTAATTTACTATTTTTCTCCGGAAAACTGCTTGGTTTAGGTAAAATAGGTGAAAAGCCTCATAAAAACGCGAAATTATCCAATTCTGATGTACGTACATCTTCGGTATCCTCTACTTTAGAAATGTAATTTCCTGTTTTTCTCCGGTAAACTGCTTGGTTTACGTAAAATATGTAAACAACCTTATAAAAACGCGACATTAACCCAATTCCGATGTACATACATCTGCGATATTATCTAGAACGGAAACGTAATTTACAGGTTTTCCACGATAAACTACTTGGTTTACGTAACATATATCAAAACCCTCATAAAAAAGCGCGAAATTACCCAATTCCGATGTACATACATCTGCGGTATCCTTTACATTGAAAACATAATTTACTTGTGTTCTCCGGTAAACTGCTTGGTTTAGGTAACATCCCAGGTAGAAATTCATGATCGTCACATTATGCGGGAAATCGGTTTACAAACAATTTACGAACTATTTACTGCATGAAATGTCCGCAACATATGTACGCGTATTGTACAATAGATTTGAAGAAAAGTTTGCGGTAAATTTGCGACGCCACGGCTCAAATATGAGCAACGACACGCTGCAATTGTATATCGGCAATATAATTTATGCGGGAGATAAATTTAGCTATACATATGCGTACAAACGTTGAGACATTGCATGCACTTAACTTTGTTTCACATTTAAGGGTTTTTGGCTCGTTATTGTGTACTGCAGATGTGAGTTCCAAATGAACACTTATAAGCAACATCCTCATGACTCATTTCATGATCTTCTATGAGGCAAATTTCATGAAAATTTTGCATCACTGTTTATGTAGGATAGGTTAGAAACTTCATAACTCATTTCATGATCGTGTATGAGGCAAATTTCATGAAAATTTGGCATCACTGTTTATGTAGGATAGGTGAGAAACCTCATGACTCATTTCATGATCGTCTATGAGGCAAATTTCATGAAAATTTTGCATCACTGTTTATGTAGGATAGGTGAGAATCCTCATGACTCATTTCATGATCTACTATAAGGTAAATTTCATGATAATTTTGCATCACTGTTTATGTAGGATAGGTGAGAATCCTCATGATTCATTTCATGATCTACTATGAGGTAAATTTCATGAAAATTTTGCATCACTGTTTATGTACGATAGATTAGAAACGTCATGACTCATTTCATGATAGTCTATGAGGCAAATTTCATGAAAATTTTGCATCACTGTTTATGTAGGGTAGGTGAGAAACCTCATAACTCATTTCATGATCTTCTAAGAGGTAAATTTCATGAAAATTTTGCATCACTGTTTATGTACGATAGATTAGAATCATGACTCATTTCATGATAGTCTATGAGGCAAATTTCATGAAAATTTTGCATCACTGTTTGTGTAGGATAGATTAGAAACTTCATAACTCATTTCATGATCGTGTATGAGGCAAATTTCATGAAAATGTTGCATCACTGTTTATGTAGGATAGGTGAGAATCCTCATGACTCATTTCAAGTGATGCAAATTTCATGAAAATTTTGCATCACTGTTTATGTAGGATAGGTGAGAAACCTCATAACTCATTTCATGATCTTCTATGAGGCAAATTTCATGAAAATTTTGCATCACTGTTTATGTAGGATAGGTGAGAAACTTCATGATTCATTTCATGATCTACTATGAGGCAAATTTCATAAAAATGTTGCATCACTGCTTATGTACGATAGGTGAGAACCCTCGAAAACCGGGAAATTCCTGAGCCCTGACCGTTACGCACCGCTGAGAAACGGCAAGACAGCGACACGTGCGTGAACGTAAACAGATCGAACGGCGGAGTGAAACGGAGGTCGCGGGAGTAAATCGCGACGACGAGTTTAGACTCGCCTAAGGGGGCGACTCGTGGCCAGAGCCCGGGTATCTCCCTCACGGTGGGATTTGCGAAAACCGAAAAGCTCCTTCGATCGGGCTCGGGAAGAGCCTCCGGCTGAACGGCCCTGGCGTCAAATCCCGCAAACCCCCGTGACCGGGGGATCAGGTTGTCCTCGAGGAGTCCCGAAATGGCCCGGTCCAAATAATCCAGGTGCTCGAGAGCGCGTCCTCGCATTAGCAGCGTCCGTCGCCATTTTGGACCCGTTCCCGTCGAAATTTCCTTCGAATATACGATATATCCCCGAAAGCGTTCCTCCTCCGCGTCCCCGAAACAATTAACAATAACGATAAGTTCATACAAATGAATTTCAGGTCCATTCGAACGATACCACACGATACCACGTACGCCTCCACCGAAAGTCCGGACAGGGTTTCGACCTCTGCAAAGAGAACAGGTCGAAACGTGAAATATGAGAGAAATTGTAAGAACAACGAGGCTCGAATGCTTCGTTCCGTTTGTCTCTCGACCTCGTAGAAAGAGACCGTTACCGTGTCGTGCGATAGTCGCATTCCTTCGGGCCGCGACGTCACGTACTCGCGCCACGCTGGCGAGTCCCCGTCCGGTTTAGCCCCCGCGAGATAAGAACTTCTCGACGCTTCGAAAACCCGGGAGATTCTAAAAGGAAGACGGGCAACCTTGCCGCGCGACAGGTCCCGGGTCCGCAATCGGCGACCGATTGACCCAGAGAGGCGACATCTCCTAGCGGAGTCGCGCGAGTGGGAAAACGCGGCCTCACCTTTTTCGCCTGAAAGTGGTCCGGCCTGAGGTTCTCGACGATCTCCTGCTCGGGCTTAACCTGTTGAGCGACCGAGGAGCGGAAGCCGTCGAGGACGCCCTTGAAGGTGAACTTCTTCATCGCGTCGGCCGGGATGACCCGCGACGAGGAGCGTCGGCCGCCTCGCGGTGTTGCCTCCTCGGGGTCGGCGGCGGATCTCGGCGGGTCGCGACGGGTCGCGACGGGTCTCGGCGGGTCTCGGCAAGTCTCGGCGGGTCTCGGCAAGTCTCGGCAGGTCTCGGCGGGTCTCGGCCAGTCTCGACGGGTCTCGACGATGGTGCGCGGCGTTGCCGTCGGTCCCGGCTCTCCCCCGCGGGGCGACGTCGTCTCGCCCCGGCCGGGTCCTCGCTGGGCTCTCGACTTCCCTGCAGCCGAGCGAGTCCTACATTTTGGAGGAGGCACGGTGACGTCACCGCGAGCCGCCAGCCGCGTCCGGGATCGGGATCATTTGTGCCGCCGAGCCGCCGAGGACGAACGCGCCAACTCTCTCCGCCTGTCTTACGGCCGAGCGGGAGCTGCGTGCCGAGTGTTTTCGTAGCTGACAGCAATGCGGTGTTGTTTAATCGTGTCAGATCAATAACTGGCAACAGGCTCGTGTGTGGACCCTCGCGAAGTCGAAGGCTCTACGCGCATGGAGCGCCGGGAGCGACTGCGAGCTCTCCGCGCCGCGGCGCCACCCTCGACTCTGCCGCTGTGATCGAACGCCGCGCGCCGCCAAATTCGAATCGCGCGCCGCCTGCTGCCATCTGTGGCGAGGGCGCCCAACTACCGCCCCTTTCGACCAGGGCTGGGTAAGTCAAATACCCTAGGTAATTTACCTAGTTTTTTTACAGTCATTTACTAGGTATTTTGCTTTACGAATTTCATACGTTAGGTAAATTACACGAATAGGGGACTTTACGTTTTTGCGGTTTTTATTCCCGATACGCTTAAAATTCAAAATTATCCATGGAATGTGAAGCCCAGATATTTTTAATGTTCGCTCCAATTTGCCATTACTATTTATTCCTTTCTTTTTTTGGCTAAAATGTTTATTTACAAGTGGCGTATACTTTGACCGTTTTGAAAAAGTGAGGTTACAGTACCGCCATCTTTGTCCTGGAATTTATTGGCTATTTTACTTGGATTTTACGTAAAATACTTCCCTTACGTATTTTACGTAAAACACTGCGAATTACGCGTCACTGCCCAACCCTGCTTTCGACTTGGATTGGCTAATTCCGCGGTTTTCGAGGTTTTTCGCGTACATTACGTAAATCAAGTAGTTTACCGTAGTAAACGTAGAAAAACAGGAGAAACGTATCAAATATGGCGGACAAGACAGACGTAGGGCGTGCGGTATCCGCTAGGTTATAAACATCCATCTTGCCTATTTGTTTCATCCCATAATTTACTTTTTGGTCTTCCACCTTTACACATTTTGATACAAATATCGGTTACGAATCTTACAACTTCAAACAGCCGCTACCAGCCGTTATAAACAAACGTCGAATGTACATATATGCATACATTTGAAATTTCGAAGGCTGATTTCGAATGTGCGCGGATTTGTGGATGCGTAAAGCGCAATCCCCTTAATAGCCAAGAGAATCTCTCTTACAAGGAAGGTACCTGAGGTGTCCCCCTCCGATTTTGTTCATTTTTAAACATGTTATAGAGGACTACAATCTAAGGGACCCGTGTTTTTTTTTTTATCTGCGGATAAACACTTTTAGGGGGTGAAATCAGGCTTCAAAGTTGGCCGTGCAAGAGGGTGAGTTGGCTGTTCATATAGAAGCACTCGACCTATTTTCATGAAACAACCGTCAAAATGTAGAGAATGAAGAATTATGAAACATTAATTTGGAATTTTTCGAAAAAATTCATTTTTAAAGGGTGAGCCACCCGTTTGAGTACTTCTTTTACCCCTTACGCGAGCAGCAATTGCTCCATCCAAATGAAACTTGGTTAATTTATAGACCAGAACAATAGAAAAAATGTTTCATTTGGATGGAGCAATTACTGCTCGCGTAATGGGTAAAAGAAGTATTCAAAGGGGTGGCTCACCCCTTAAAAATGAATTTTTTCGAAAAATTCCAAATGCATGTTTCATAATTCGTCATTCCCTACATTTTTACGGTTATTTCATGAAAATCGGTCGAGTGCTTCTATATGAAACAGTGAACTCACCCCTTTGCACGGCCAACCTTGAAGCCCGATTTCACTCCCTAAAAATGTTTATCCGCCGATAAAAAAAAAACACGGGTCCCTTAGATTTTAGTCCTCTATAACATATTTAAAAATAAACAAAATCGGAGGGGGACACCTCAGATACCTTCCTTGTTAGAGGTAAGTAGGTGGACTCTCATTGGTTATTGACGATATTGCGCATGCGCTTTGCACATTTAGTTTGGGGTAATATACTTCGGGCTTGCGTAGAAAACTAGGGACGTATTATACGATGTAATATACGTGTAGAAAACCACGTATATTACTTAAAGTGTTATACTTACCCAACCCCGATGTATTCGCAAAGAATTAAGAAGTTCCATAGAAGCCCAGATCCTAGGTTAGCACTTGATGCTCTAATGCCCGATTCCAACCTCAGTTAAATCATTGATTACCTAATCGTAGGTTAAAGTTAACATCTAAGTTAATCAGGGATTAAAAGCTTAAATGTCCCACTACATTTATTTGGAACGTGATTAACTAATCGTATACCCCATTCGAAGTAAGTTGAACTGCCGATGAACGCGTTCGTTTGATTAAGGTGAAGTGAAACACGTCGAGGAACTTGATCGACGTCGATAAAGAAGATTCTTCTAAATGCCTACGTTGCCGACGTTCGTTTTTATATCTACAGCTGGGTCGAATTATATTGGATATTGTACCAAATGGCATACTCCAGCTGTCGTTTTCGTACAATAAATATCAAGAAATCGAAGTAAAACTCCAGAAATCCTCTGGATTCATGCTTTCTGGGGCCCTAATTGACTGCAGAGGGACACCCTGGTCAATGAAATGTTCACTACGAGACCTCGTATTCCCATCGTTTTGGCATAGAAGCGCATACAACACTTTTTTTGCCTTTATCCCGTTCAAATGCGAGGTTATCGATTACCAGAGTGTTCTAAATTGTCGTAAAATTGTCCTGACCCTTTCGATTCTCATCTCAGAGCCTTCGATAATTGTATATCGATCGAAATATGAGAGCTCGACGCCATTTTGGTTCTGGTCTGAACTGAGGTAACAATTTTTTTTTAAATATCCAAATTTTGAATGTGTCAGGACAATTCTTAGATGATCAGGAGTGACGTGTCAAAGTTTCGGACAGTTTTGTCTAAAACCCTTAAAAAAAAAGTGTTGTATTCGAATCGACTGATTTGAAGGGTGTTTCACTTCACCTTAACTGATACTCTGATCTACTGGAAAGCAAGATAGAAGCATCTTTGTCAAGACACCAAATCCCCCTAGCTTTATGCAAGAACTTATTTGACAGATGCTAGCCATATGAAGTAAAGTTCTTTGTTAAGAATTAATATAAAATCTTTTCAAGCGTACTTCGATCATTAAAAAATTGTAAATAAAGGTAGAAACGTCTGCATCCGTTTCGCCATAAGGTATTACTACGTATTCGATCTAATCCATGCTTTCCTCACGTTTATGCAGTTTTTAGGTTGAAATTCGATTAACTGAAGCTAAACGATCAAATTTGTCTGGTTGATCTAAACGACGGTTAATGGAAATTAACCTGCCGTTAAAATGTGGTGGAACGTGCAACTTATTGTAATCGAGGATTAGCTTTTTGACCGAGGTTGGTGAAACCGGGTATAAAAGTTGGCTAACAAACCAGGAGTAGGGATAAAACAGAGATAGCATGTTTGACAACGGTATCTCACATACCGGAGGAAGAAAGACGCATATCGAAAGGCGAGCACTGTGTGAGATAAAGAAGGAATGCAATCCGCTATATATTGCCGTAAGATTAAGAGAGATGGAGAGATGATTACAGCGTCGCCATCTGTTGGTTAAAGTATTATTTATCGAGCATCAACGCCAGTATTCTGGGCTTTTATGGAGACCTTTTTTTTTTTTGGTATCCGCTAGGTTGTAAACGTGTTTTAGCACACACGTAAACAGAGTTGGTTAGTGACTCGTAATTCAAAGCTTTTTAGTACGTAAAATGTTACGTAAAATACTTAATGGAAGTTAAGTATTTTACGTAACATTCAAGTAAAATACCTAACAAAGATGGCGGTGCTGTAACCTCCCTTTTTTAAAGTGGCTAAAGTATAAATCACTTGTAAATAAACATTTTAGTCAAAAAAAAATAAAGGAATAAAGAATAACTGCAAGTAGGAGTAAACAAACCATTAAAAAGATCTAGACTTCAACATTTTAGTTTTCTATACGTTCGTGACAATGCACATCAGTTTGTATGACCATTAGAAACAGGAACAGGAAATCCAGAAACATAAAGACCCATATTCATGTAATTTACATCACGGATGAAATTACAGCAAAATACCTAGTAATTGACTGTAAAGAACCACGTAAATTACCTGGGGTATTTTACTTACCCAAACCTGCACTTAAACACGTAAATATTTTTCTAGAGTAAATTAATTTGGCGCTCACCTTCAAATTTCTTTAGAATATTACATTTCCAATATGGCGGATGCACGATATATGTACCTGTTAGGTTATAAGCGACATTTAGCACATGTGTAAACACGTACAAATTTTTAAGGAATAATTTGGCGCTTACATTCAAAGTTTTTTCAACTTAAGGCTGTTTAATATCAAATTTCTAGCTAGATTTATTTTCTATTTAAAAATAGAAGGGTGTAATATACTTTGCGCTCGTGTAGACAACTATGGACATATTATACATTGTAATATCACACTTAGAAGACCCCCACATTACATTACACATAACAAACTGGTGTCAACACAAACTGGGGAAATAAAAAACCATTGTGGAAATTTCTTTCTTGCTTGCTATTTCTTTTATTGCATTCTTTATTGCAAGAAATCACAAATTAAAGGGACATTATTTATCAAAATTAATTTGAATACAAAGTCTCAGTTCTCTTAAATTCTCAATTGTACCGAATTGTACTCTTATTCCACTAACTGCACTGGAATAAACAGAACTGAAATTGACAACACTGGGTTCCACGTTCATGTTTTCATCCAATTGATTCGTAATATGCATATGTATATGTGTGTGAGTCGAAAGAATGGTATTCATTAAGAACATAAAACAAAGACGCAAGAACATGTACGTTGCCACTTTTTTTTAGGATACATTGAGGCCAAGTTAATTCCATAGCCACAAGACACGAGGGACAATAAATGGTTTAAAACATTTCTGCGCAAGCTCAAATCGAATCCTTTATGTGGTATAAATAAAAAATATGTGCGTCATTAAATTCTAGCTCGCATCATTTTCCACCATACAAATTTGTAATCACTATGTAATGGCATAAACTGTACAGATTGTACATTGTAAATAGAGATCTAACTATTTTTTTTCATATGCATGTGCCTTATTGTCCACTTAGATGTCTACTAAATGTATAAGGAAAAATTTACAATATCTGTTCAATGACGAAGAGTCGATACATTGTTTTACTTGTATTGGTACCTTAAAAGCATGATTGTACGCGTAATTAGATTATTTTGGAAACATTGTGAATATCAACAAATATTAAAAGTCTTGGTTCATTTTAAACTAAGCAGCATATGTTGCTTCGTCCAATCATTTGAGTCTATTGTTCAATGACGTACACAAAGCTTCCACCCGATATAGCGAATACAGGAAACAATGGATGGTGTAGAAAAGGAACAACAAATAATGTTAATATTTCAACTCGCCTTTAAATCTTCATGTAAAACTACAAGTATATTTAATATCATTTCTTGATAAAATTGGAAAACTGATGATTCTAATGAAATGGAATTTCTCTTTGACCAAAAATATATTGATTTAAATGTTAAACATATTCGGTATTCATCACTCTATTATCATGAATTTTTCAACATTTTAATGTTTTGATGCATAGAACAGCTTTGCTCCAGGTTATGGAGAGGAATTTATCTTCACTGCTGTGGACTCTTGCCATAACCGCTTGTTCCGGTATTCACCCAATGTCCCAAGGGAAAACCACAGCTCAAAAAAACCTTGGGCGGAACAGCTGCATCCAATTTCAATACACTGGATCTCCATAGCTGCTTCGTAGCTAGATCTTGCCGCAACCAGGTTGTTCCAGTATCCACCGTCTGCCTTGAGAAAAGAACGTCTTCAAAATCCTTGGAGAGATGTATCCGTCTTCGATATAATGAATCTACAGTGTCGTGTAACCATGGATCTGTAAATTGATCGACGCAAGATAATTAATATTTAGAAACCAAAGTAAGATTTACGAGTCAATAATATAATAATCTACCTTCCAGATAATGATTTTCTGTCAGAAGGTGTCCTCTTTCATTGTCCATTCAAATGAAAGTTTATATACTAGCAAACTCCAGAGATTAAATCTCATAGGAATTTGATTGCAATTTGAACGAATATAAGCAATGCAGAGATAATAATAAGATAATAATAAGATAATAAGAGATAATAATGAGACAGTAAGTTTAATCTTGATAAAATTAATTTGATCTCCTCAATTATATGCTATTAAATAAAATTGAATTATAAATTTTGCAGAATTTAATGATTTTAAAAATGCAGAACTGCGTTAAGAATCTATTTTTGTACTCGTTCATTTGCAAGAACTAAAAATAGAGATGAAAAAACAGGTACGGTTGCCAATGTCAGAATCTTCGGAGTTGAATCTTCAGAGTTGAATCTTCAGAGTTGAATCTTCATGTTATACTCATAAATACCCGTGAAGGATTCACAGAGTTGAAAAAAAATAAAATAAAATAAAATTTACTGCAGTCTTCATTTCAGAATTCTAAGTTACGAGTTCAATATCTTCTCGTAATTTATAAATAACTGCTAAAGAAATGACGTTGAAAAAAAAAATACAGGCCCAATTTGCAACAGCCTCCATGTAAAAACTACGGGAAGTAAATATTTTATCTTCCCGAGTATAATTTCTAAGTAGCTGCATGAGTGGTTCCACCGAACTATTACACATTCGACCAGATCAATTCCGGTAAAAAGTTTAAAGTGGATAGCTTACTCGGCGTGCGTGCGTTAGCTATATTTACTTATAAATAAAATTAAACTAAGTTCCCTCGGTTAAAAGCTAAACGTCCGTTAGGACGAAATATCACTCAAGCTCGGCTTGCACCGAGGGGAATTATTTGCATCTATATTTTCCCAAGCTTGGTTCGCACCAAGGGGCCTTAACAAATACGAGGGTGGCATACAAAGTATGTTCGGATGAATAATCTACGCGAGCGAGTTTCCATAAAACACACATTCATTCACTCGGTACATTTTAATCGCTATTCTATAAAAGATCCGTTAGGACCAGAATCAACCAAGCCTGGACTACGCCAGGGGCAAAGATTCTCTGATTTTCTCAAGCTCGGCATTTGCCAAGGAGATATTACATTTTATTCCCTAATTAGACATACGCGGCGTCTATATCTCGTCCCTTCCGCAGTCGATTCCATCGGGCACCGGAGTTAACCTCAAAAGAACGACCTGATAACGTTCGCGAAAATGCCCGTTAGGACTAAAAATCAACCAAGCTCGGCACGTGCCGAGGGTAACCGAGTAAACCATCAGTTCTCAATTTCCCAGGTATTTCACGCACTTACAAATTTCATATTGGATTAAGTCGGCGCTCGGGGAATTCAACATGGCGGCTGTCGGCGTCCCTTCCGAGTAACGGCGAACCGGTTTTGGGCGTGCCATTACGCGGTAGGAGACGCTTATTTTTTACCGATCGGTCGATTCGAGAGCCATAAATCTGCATTCCAGGAAAGCCTCTTCGCGACTCCGAGTCGCAGATCGATTCTGGTATTGTCTCTTGAATCTTGTTCAACGCGGGACGAAAATCATGGCGATCTTCTCGCTGTGGATTTCTGTCGGTCCGCGTCGGTCAGTCCTTCTTGTCGTCCCGAATGCTTCTTCGATCTCCATCCCGATGAATCAAGTAAAACGGCCGGATGATCAACGATGCAGTCGCAAATGTACACGGACTTCTTTTAATAAAATCGGGGACACTCAGCAAACAACGTCTCACACCTCAGCCGTCCTACGTGGTTCTGCGGGACGCGGGTTCTGGGCAGTTCTGCGCAGGGGGGCAAGGGGGTGACACCAGAAGGCTGACACTCGCATGCTATTCTTCGAGATTAGTGTATGCAGCGACCTCTGGATCAATAGTACCGAAAGTATGAACTAGCAAATTTCCCGCCATAAATTTAAATTGAATGACATTCAGAAACTGTTATTTAAGAAAAAATGATCTAATAATNTTTTTCTTTTATAATAATCTATGAGTTTCAAAGAAACATAACCCATAGTAATGTCATTTACATTCGACTTACCAAGTTACATATATACCTTCCTACGACAAATAATTGTTCTTAATTGTTGCAGCGTCATTGTCATAAAAATACCGATTTTACAAAACCTACAGAAATTATATAACCCTTTTCATGCGTACCATTGGATCTTATCTTTTTCCTTGTTTCTTTTATCCTTTCATCTACTAAAAGTATTAGAGTCCACACAATATAAATAGAGGACATTGGCAAAGAATTGTTATGCCATATTCAACTCGATTGTCTTAACATCGTTTATCAAAAAACATTTTGTTTATCCAGTGTAGGCAGTTAAAACATTAAGAATAAATCTCCTATTCTTAAAACAAGCTATGGTTGAGGGAATACTATTTATAAGTTTCACATCTTACAAGAGCAGCTTGTTATTTGTATTATAACATAAATTACATATATATTATTATTGTTACTTTGACTATCGCACTTTTCTTGTCTCACTTTTTTTTTTCACTCGCAGCCTGTGCAGAAGGGCTCGACGGACTTTTTGTGGCATTTTAATCTAAATTCGTTTTAGGCTTATTCGTGAAATCTGTAAAATATGTTTTTGGCCTCTTTCGTTTCAGAAAAAAGGTATTCTTTCCAGGAGTCGTGAAATATCTGAAGGTAGGACTGCGATTAGAGGTGTCATCCGATGACAGCCCAAGACTGATACTTGCATCTTTTTGCAACTGGAATGTCCCTTTTGGACTTTTTATGCAGGCAGGGTTCTTTGATGTACTCCGTTTCAATATCACTACAACCAGCAAAATGTAACTTGAAATAAACTATGGATAATCCAGAAGACATATTATGTACATCTATTGATGACGAAGTAAGAAAAATACATGATGTTCAATACAGATTACACAATTCAAATTGAAACGACAGGTTTTTATTTTGCAATCAATCTATATAATATATTACCTGGTTGAAGGCGACTTTGATGTATCACAGGTGATACTGGTTTTGTAAACACTCCTTTGGGAGATGGATGTCTATTCTCTTTTGCTAATCGAGATGTTGGTAAAACCAGAGGTGACAAAGGTTTCGGAGACATTTTTTTTGGTAACCTTTGAGGCGAGTAATTTGTATTAAGTGGACTTCGAGTAGCTTTAACACTTTGTGGATATTCAGACTTTGCTTCATTTAATTCTTTCGTCTTGATAACAGCATGTTTTCTGTCTCTAACAATTGGTGATATATATTCAGCTTTACGCTTCTTACTAGTTAACTGTAAATATGTACTATTTAAGTCCTGGTTCCTTTTCAAATCTTTCTGAACTACATTCGAAGATAACTGTTTCGTCTTTCCAGTAGGTAAAGCTTTAGGTACACTTCTTTGCAACGTCGGTTTACAACTCATTGTCCTCATAGTATTGCCTTTTTCTGTCGAAGCAGAA